TCAGAGGCTTTGAAGTTTCAGACCTTATTTCTCTGGACAGTTGTCACAGGAGATGGAGGAAAGGTCTGGGGTGAACAAGGCCTTTGAAGATGGGAACGATTTGGACAGGGATGTGAGTGTTGCCAACAATATAGAGCCTTGGACTGGGTGGTGTAGGGCAAGGGAAAAGAAAGGCAGTTGTAGGACTTCCCCTTTCACTCAGCTTTCTTCACTTGCCACTGCTTTTGAATAGAGGCTCCCCTATCCCTGGGGGGCAGGTAAGAAGTGGGGCACGTACACAGGATTGTTTCTAAGTGCTAATGATTTTTGCTGAGCTATCAATGACCTCTCACTACTGACCTGTGGCATATTTCTGTGATGCTGTTGTCTGGGTTAGTGAACTGGACTTTGGAATAGAAAGAAGATCCAAGGAGACGGGAAAGAGGAATATGAACCTATATTCTTTTAGTTTCGTCATATTTCTTCTAAGCTCATTGAAAAGACTGTAACTGACAACTACAACTCATTTTCAAACTTAAATTATGTCTGTGTAATTTAGGTAGAAAGCCCCTGGGCAGGTATGGCACCTTTTTTCTGTGCTTGACAGGGTACCAAGCATACCGAAGGCATTTAGCAAATAATGATAATAATTTAAAGCAATGGGAGCATTGGGTGTACAGGGAGATAAGAAACTGGAAGACTGGGACCCACTAATAATTAATAATGTCTCGGGAGGTGGTCCCACTGTTTTTGGATTTTAAATCCCCTTGTTCAATTTCTTGGTGGAGCGAATTCTACACAAAAAAGAATAATCTTTAATTTGATACTTAGTCACTTCAGCGTCCTGTGCTGAGCTGGTTAAGATTGCATATTCTTATGAAAATATACACATTCATAATCAGTCAGATAATGTAGCTCCCAGGGCTTCTAAATGCAAAAGCAAGAGATTATATATTTAGATAAGTGGCTTCAAAGTCATAGGATCATCTGAGAAGTTCACATTCTTCATTTTTCACTTTTTCCTTATGGAATTGAAAGGAAAACATCACCACAAAAACTTCTAATTAAATACATGATGAAACAAGGCCCAGCATTTACAAGTTAAGGCTTCACTGGAAATGAATTCTTGTCCTTGTGTGTGATAGGTTGAATTGAAAGACATTTTAATAAAATGACAGGATAACTGGAGTATGCCTTTGATTAAGGCTTAATTACCAATTATTCTTCAGCCCCTTATGCTCACATTCTGAAAATTTGGGGTCTGTATTTATTTATTTGGTTAAAATACTCAGAGACCATGGAATAGACTAGCCCACAAAAAGACTGGAAAGAAAGTACAATGTGTCTTATATGCTCATCATTTCTTTCAGTGCGTTCTTTTTTCCCATGTCTGTTACACCCCTTACCACCTGCCTTGGGTTTGGTTTAAACTTCGCTTCTCTTCTCCATATCAAAGCTTATGATTCTTTGGTTTTCTTAACTGACCCCATTCCATTTTAGATTCTACTTTCTTAATATTTTTGAAATCTTCCTCTTTACCATGGTCTTATTTTGAGTCGGCACCATCTTTTGTCTGAATTACTGAAATAGCTTTTCAAGTAGTGTGTTCAGTTCATCCTTCACCCTGCTGTTAGAGTTTTCTTTCTAAAACACAGGTCTACTTTTGTCTCTCCTCTGCTTAAATATTTTGATACCCTGCCTCCATCAGCTGTAGGGTAAAAATCATACTCATTAGCAGAGCATAAAAAGTACTTATTCGTCTGATCCCTGGCTATCTTCACAGCTTCATAAATTGCCTCTTGGCCATGCACCTTTATACATGGGTCTTTATGGGCTTTTATGGGTTGTTTTTCTCCATCCATACCTTTGTGCATGTCATTCTGTCTGCTTAGACTGCCTTTTCCCCTTTGTTTCTCTGAAAGATGCCTGCCTTTCTTTCAAGGCTCACCTTGAAATTATCTTACTGTCCTGGAGAGAGCAAGTATTTCCTTCTCATCAACACACTTTCTTTTAAGACAATGTGTCCTTAGACCTGGTATACATTATATCAGATTCTCTTTCTAAGGAATTGATATGGAGATATAGAGTGAGTGAATTAGTTGGATGAATGTCTTATTCATGGTCTTAAAGGTCTCATAGTCACACATGCAAGCCAAGAAAGCTGATCTGTGGAAAAGAGTAGGAAAATGAAGATTGCAAGAAAAAGTGTCCATAAGAGATACTTGGGGACCTAAGAAAGAGAGAGGAGTGGGATGCCATTTTGGTTCCTGTTGGCTTATCAGTTCCTGGTTGAGTTCCTCTTGAGACTGCAATTGCTCATTAGATACTCTTAACTCTTTATGCTAATATTTACTTTATTTAACTGGCCAAAATTAATTGTTTTTTTTAAATCAAATAATTCCTTATTAAGACTCATCTATTATATGCAATTCAATGATTTGTGTGTAGTATTCTATCTTCCTTAACAGACAGTAAACCCTTTGAGGGTAGAGACATTTTATAAGATTTATCTTGAGATTCCCAGCAATTAGTCTAGCTGTGGTTGGTTGACAATATATGTTTGGATGAATGAAAACAAATCACATTTTTTTCAATGCCTTTTCTAACAAAGAGCCTATGAAACTGCAAAGTTGGTTTTGCTATCATAGTGGATGACAAAGTGTTAGGACTTCCAGTAACATATTCGTATTTTAATAAGGGCTTTCTGGAACCAATCATTTGAGGTACAGGAAAAGCCATAAAAGTGAGGAATTGTCAGTACTGAATTTCATGGAGAGGCATTTTGGGAGTCTTTCAACATCTCTGAAGTGATTACACATCTTTGTTTAGGGACAGCAGGGTGTAGGGGCAGCAACAGAAGGAACTGTCTGAGGGACAGAAGGACTCCTCTGCAGGAGCTGATTGAGTGAAAACCATGACTGGGACCTTACTGCCCAGAACTGCATTTACTTCCTTCCAAATAGTTTTAGATAAGCACTGATTATCCAGGAAAACCAGAAATAGTCTTGGTAAAACCAGTCAAAATGCTGAGTTATTTGAGATAATATCACTATGTGAAACTTCACTCCGAATCAGTGTATTGCTTTTAAAATATTGGTATCTCTAATAATCTACTCATATACTTTCTATTTTGGTATTACTGATTGAATGCCAACAGACATCAAATGAACACTTTTTTTTTTCGACGACATAAAGAGGATATTGTTATATTATAGCTGAAACCTCACTATAGGAAAAGCAAATGGGATGGATCATTGAAATGAGCTTGAGATGAGTGTTTGCCTCTCCCAGATTTTACCTTCCAAGATATTTGGGTCATTAGACTTCCTGATCTCCCCCTTTTTTTTCCCATTTATTTTATTGCATTTTAGGTTTTGGGGTACATGTGAAGAACATGCAAAATTGTTGCATAGGAACACACGTGGCAATGTGATTTGCTGCCTTCCTCCCCATCACCTACATCTGGCATTTCTCCCCTTGCTATCTCTCCCCAGCTTCCCACCCCCCACCGTCCCTCCCCTATTTCCCCCCAACTGACCCCAGTGTGTAGTGCTCCCCTCCCTGTGTCCATGTGGTCTCATTGTTCAACACCCACCTATGAGTGAGAACATGCGGTGTTTGATCTTCTGCTCCCCTTTTTAATCACAAATTTTACATTTGTACTTTCTTTTTTTCCCCCTCTTTCTGGTATTACTAAGCCTCACTCTTCTTGGTTACAACAAACCAGGGCCATGAAACTGTCATTTCTCAAGCTGCTATCTTCACTGGCTGGCATTTCAGTTGGGGCAGATGCCTTTGAGAACATTGGCCTTCCAGAGACCAACCCTGTTGGAGGCAAAGCTTCTTCTAGACAAACCTTTAAACAGGAGTGCATTCCTTGTTAATACTATTTCTGGTAAATGGGCTAAGCATGAGCAGCCAGCTTTGTTTAAGGACTTAATAAATTCTACTTGTGGTTTGAGGTGATGTTCCTTTTATGTTAAATGTAATTATAATAGGGCAGAGGTGCAGTGTAGGCATGTTGTTGTATAAACACATAAACTTATGAATGCTTAACAGATTCTGGGCTTATTGTAAGGTTTATTTCTCCCTTGTGAAAATGTTGCTCAGCTCTAGTAAAATGTATGTGCGCTATCCTCCAGAGCAACTGTGAACATAAATGGAGGTTAAACAGCTGGACAGAATGCCAATGTTTTAAAATATAGCTGGGAATCAAAGCTGGAAACCAAAAAAGACTTCCTTAGCTTCAAAGGTAGCCAATTAAGTTGCAAACACTATTGATAACAGTTGCTTTATTCAGAGGCTTATTATATAAAACACCATGCTGCCTTGAAACTGAAGAGGTTGCCGTGCAATCGTCTCCATAATCCATAATTGAAAGAATCATAAATGTAACAATTATTTCCCACTATGATTGCTTTCACAATTTCTTGTTCGCTGCAGGATCCTTGTTTTTTTCCTTTTTTTTTTCTTTCAGCTCATTGCAACAATCACACAATTATAGTGTGATTCATATTTAAGATTAAATTTTTTCATGTCTACTGAAGTATATAAAATCTCTATTTTCATAATTGTGAACTATGTTTATACATCAATCAACTTTTAAAGTAAGTAGTATTGATTGCAATATATGCTCTATAAGTGTTATTTATTTGGCTTAAATTTTACAAGTTTTATCAATGACTTAAAGGAGAGTGATTAAAAGTAATTTTAAGATGGACATAAATAGTACAATATTTGAATTGGAAAAACATATCTGTATGATAGAAAAGAGATAAGAAATAAAAACAATTCTCATGTGGTATATTTAATTTAACCTTAAAAAATTATGTCATCCTCCAAAAACTATTTCTGGCTTTAAGTATTTTGAAATGTTTAGCAATGAACCAAATGAAGCTTTTTTGGGAACCCTGAATTAACTGAGTATAGGCTGAGTTTTAGGGGAGGGATAAAGCTCTCTCTTTTCTTGCCCACTCCCTACTCTACCTCAGATCTAATGAAGAGAAGAGAGAGTGAAAGCAATTAGGGAAGAGGAGAGGAAGAACTGAAGGAGAGTGAGGGAACAGTTTCAGAGATGTTTTATGCATTTTGAACATGCAAAATAAATCAGCTCTCCACATACATGTAAGTTCACGTTTTATATATTTTAAAAATCTAAAAAGCCATGAAATTATGTCAACTTCACTGAAGCTAATAGCCCTTTATGAGATTTTACAATTTATTTACAAAACACCCTAATATTTCTGTCCATATATATAACATATGTTTTCACAAAACTCTCATGTTTTACATGATTTCAGAGGCCATCTAATTCATTCTTCTAATTGTACAGGAGAACAACTGAGTACTGTATATTATAATTAGGGTGATTATATATGTTATTGTCCAAATCTGGACACTTCTGAGAATAAAAGGGGTTGCTATTAATAATTACCCCAGGACAACAGGTATAAATTGGAAAACTAGGATTTATGAGCACCTTGATTTTAAAAAATAGAAACTAAGATTGCCAGATGGTTGAGTCATTAAAATTAATTTAATTGCTTTTTTAGTGTTCTGCCATTATGACTGAGAGAAAAAGTGAAATTGGCCACTCTAATAACAGCTAACATTTTTGATCACTTATTATGTGCCAGACATTATTCTGAACATTTTATTTTAGAAACAGGATGAATCCTCATGATAACTCTATGAGGTTGCTACACTTGTCCCTATTTTATAGAAGAGGAAACTGACATCTAGGGAGATTAAGTTAATTGTCTCTGGTCACAAAGCTAGTAAGTAAAAGATTTGGGATTAAAACCCAAGTATTTTGCCCGCAGAGTCCATGTCATAACAGCCACCTTATTCTGCCTCTCACGCCTCTAGCACTGATGATTCTAGAGGAAGTTCTCCAATTGCAGTAATGTTTGAAGGGCTGAGCAGAATTCAGAGGTTTGTAATTCTAGAGGTCATGAAGTAAATAATTAGAGACCAGGATAAAACATCTGGTATCTGAGATCAGAAATTAAAGAATCAGGCTACAGTTATGGATGACCTTCAGTGTGCTTTCTCACATGTGGGTGTGACATATGGTGTTAAGGAAGCAGAAGTAATAACCATGCGGTGAGCCCAGGTGAGCAGGCAGAGGCAAAGAAAAGGAGCATCTGACTGAAGTGAGGAGTAAATGTAGGAAATGCAGGTTCCTGGCTATCAATTCTATCTATACCTGGACTATACACACAATCTAGGCTTCAGTTTTTCTTGATAGAAGGAAAATACTTCCTCTTGCTTCCAGAGAATAAAAGTATGAAAGAGAGCTGAGTAGAACAAGGACAAAGGGAGGTTTTCTAGTCAATGCTCCAAGGCTCCTTGGCCTACCTGCCAATCCTGGCTACCTCCACACTGCTGGTGACCTCAACAGAGGCTCCACCAGGCTGACACTGTGCTGAGAAATCACAGAGGAAGGAACCACGGGACTGATTATTCCTTGATTCCCAGCTGTCTTCATAGTGGGACATTATGAGATTCAAGAACTAGGGGTGGTATACTGACAGTTCTAAATTTGCATAATGTGAGTTGTGTTGATTTTTTTGAGTATTTTCACTTTTATCGCCAAAATATCTCTAGTTCCAATCGTTTATCATTATTTTAAACCCTTCGATATAGTGTGCCTAAGTTCTCCGTAAAGAACATGAGAAGATATTCATTTACCTCTTTTACTGATAATTCACTCACTTGATCCCAGTTGTATTCCATTCCTTAAACTGGCATAGCCAATCTTGATTATGTTGGTCAATCTTATTGAGGACCGCTTTATTGAATAGTGGTACCATGGGGAGCTGGTATGGAGAAAATAATTTCTGTCTCCAAAATATAGAGGTAGGAACATATACCAGAAAGCAAAACAAAACAAAAGCTAAATGACTTAATCAAAATCAATGTAAACAGGGCAAATGGTAGTGGGAATTACTTACATTGATTCTCGGTGATAATGGCTGAAAAGTACTTTTACCAGATATTTTATCCTATCCTAATTTGTTTGACTATTATGTATTTTTTGCAAAATGATTAAATACAATGATGAAATTGAAAAGAAAAAAATATATTATTTAAAAAAGCTAAGAGCTGGTAAGATGGCTGAATAGGAACAGCTCTGGAGTGCAGCTCCCAGCAAGATCAACATAAAAGGTGGGTGATTTCTGCATTTCCAACTGAGGTACCTGGCTCATCTCATTGAGATTGGTTAGGCTGTGGGCGCAGCCCATGGAAGATGAGCCAAAGCAGGGTTGGGTGTTGCCTCACCTGTGAAGTGCAAGGGGTCAGGGAACTCCTTCCCCTAGCCAAGAGAAGCCATGAGGAACCGTGCCACGAGGAATGGTGCATTCTGGCCCAGATACTATGCTTTTCCCATGGTCTTCACAATCCTCAGACCAAGAGATTCCCTTGGTGCCTACACCACCAGGGTTTCAAGTGTGAAACTGGGCAGTTGTTTGGGCAGACACCAAGCTAGCTGCAGGAGCTTTTTTTGTATATACTGCAGTGGCACCTGGAACACCAGTGAGACAGAACTGGAAAGGGGGCTGAAGCCAGGGAGCCAAGTGGTCTAGCTCAGCAGATCCCACTGCCATGGAGCCCAGCAAGCTAAGATCCACTGGCTTGAAATTCTCGCTGCCAGCACAGCAGTCTGAAGTTGACCCGGGATGCTTGCGCTTGGTGGGGGGAGGGGTGTCTGCCATTACTGAGGCTTGAGTAGGGGATTTTCTCCTCACAGTGTAAACAAAGCCACCTGGACTGGGTGAAGTCCACCATAGCTCGGCAAAGCTGCTGTAGCCAGATTACCTCTCTAGATTCCTCCTCTCTGGGTAGGGCTTCTCTGAAAGAAAGGCAGCAGCCCCAGTTAGGGGCTTATAGATAAAACTCCCATCTCCCTGGGACAGAGCACCTGGGAGAAGGGGCGGCTATGGGTGCAGTTTCAGCAGACTTAAACGTTCCTGCCTGCCAGCTCTGAAGAGAGCAGTAGATTTCCCAGCACAGTGCTCAAGCTCTGCTAAGGGACAGATTGCCTCCTCAAGTGGGTCCCTGAGCCCTGTGCCTCCTGACTGGGAGGCCCCGCCCAGCGGGGATCAACAGGCACCTCATATAGGAGTGCTGTGGCTGGCATCTTTTGGGTGCCCCTCTGGGGTAAAGCTTCCAGAGGAAGGAACAGGCAGCAATCTTTGCTGTTCTGCAGCCTCTGCTGGTGATACACAGGCAAACAGGGTCTAGAGTGGACATCCAGCAAACTCCAGTAGGCCTGCAGCGGGGGTGGGGAGCTGACTGTTAGAAGGAAAAATAACAAACAGAAAGGAATAGCATCAACATTAACAAGAAGGACGTCCACATAGAAACCCCATTCAAAGGTCACCAATGTCGAAGACCAAAGGTAGATAAATCCATGAAGATGAGGAAAAACCAGTGCAAAAAAATTGAAAATTCCAAAAACCAGAATGCCTCTTCTCTTCCAAAGGATCACCACCACCTTGCTCATCACCAGCAAGGAAACAAAACTGGATGGAGAATGAGTTTGACAAATTGACAGAAGCAGGCTTCAGGAGGTGAGTAATAACAAACTCCTCCGAGCTAAAGGAGCATGTTCTAACCCAATGCAAGGAAGCTAAGAACCTTGAAAAAAAGGTTAGATCAGGCTCGGTGCGGTGGCTTAAGCCTGTAATCCTAGCACTTTGGGAGGCTGAGGCGGGTGGATCACGAGGTCAAGAGACCAAGACCATCCTTGTCAACATGGTGAAACCCCGTCTCTACTAAAAATACAAAACATTAGCTGGGCATGGTGGTGTGTGCCTGTAATCCCAGCTACTCAGGAGGTTGAGGCAGGAGAATTGCCTGAACCCAGGAGGCGGAGGTGAGCCGAGATCACACCATTTCACTCCAGCCTGGGTAACAAGAGTGAAACTCTGTCTCAAAAAAAAAAAAAAAAAAAAAAAAAAAGAAAGAAAGAAAGAAAAAGAGGTTAGATCAATTGCTAACTAGAATAACCAGCGTAGAGAAGAACGTAAATGACCTGATGGAGCTGAGAAACACAGCATGAGAACTTGGTGAAGCAGACACAATTATCAATAGCTGAATTGATCAAGTGAAAGAATGGGTATCAAAGACTGAAGATCAACTTAATGAAATGAAGCATGAAGACAAGATGAGAGAAAGAAGAATGAAATGGAATGAACAAAGCCTCCAAGAAATATGGGACTATGTGAAAAGACCAAATCTATGTTTGATTGGTGTACCTGAAAGTGATGGAGAGAATGGAACCAAGTTGGAAAACACTCTTCAGGGTATTATCCAGGAGAACTTCACCAACCTAGCAAGACAGACCAACATTCAAATTCAGGAAATACAGAGAACACCACAAAGATACTCCTTGAGAAGAGCAACCCCAAGAAACATAATCGTCAGAGTCACTACGGTTGACATGAAGGCAAAAAATGTTAAGGGCAGCCAGAGAGAAAGGTCAGGTCACTCAAAAAGGCCCATCAGATAACAACAGATCTCTCTGCCTAAACCCTACAAGCCAGAAGAGTGTGGGGGGCAATATCCAACATTCTTAATGAAAAGAATTTTCAACCCGTAAGTTCATATCCAGCCAAGCTAAGCTTCATAAACAAAGGGTAAATAAAATCCTTTACAGACAAGCAATTGCTGAGAGATTTTGTCACAACAAGGCGTGCCTTACAAGAGCTTTTGAAGGAAGCACTAAATATGGAAAGGAAAACTGGTACTAGACACTGCAAAAACATACCAAATTGTAAAGACCATCAACACCATAAAAAAAACTGGATCAACTAACAGGCAAAATAATCAGCTAGCATCATAATGACAGGATCAAATTCACACATAACAATATTAACCTTAAGTGTAAATGGGCTAAATGCCCCAAGTGAAAGACACAGACTGGCAAATTGGATGAATAGTCAAGATCCATCAGCATGCTGTATTCAGGAGATCCATCTCATGTGCAAAGACACACATAGGCTCAAAATAAAAAGATGGAGGAATATTTACCAAGCAAATGGAAAGCAAAAATAAAAATAAAAAAAGCAGGAATTGCAATCTTAGTCTCTGATGAAACAGAATTTAAACCAACAAAGATTAAAAAAAAGACAAAGAAAAACATTACATAATTGTAAAGGGATCAGTGTAACAAGAAGAGCTAAGTATCCTAAATGTATATGCACCCAACACAGGAGCACCCAGATTCATAAAGCAAGTTCTTAGAGACCTACAAGGAGACTTAGACTCCCACACAATAATAGTGGGAAACTTTAACACCCCACTGTCAATATTGGACAGATCAATGAAGCTGAAAATTAACAAAGATATTCAGGACTTGAACTCAGCTCTGGACCAAGCTGACCTAATAGACATCTGCAGAACTCTCCACCCCAAATCAACAGAATATGCGTTCTTCTCAGCACACATCACACTTATTCTAAAATCAACAACACAATTGGAAGTAAAACACTCCTCAACAAATGCAAAAGAATGGAAATTATAACAGTCTTTCAGACCACAGTGCAATTGAATTAGAACTCAGGATTAAGGAACTCACTCAAAACTGCACAATTACATGGAAACTGAACAACCTGCTCTTGAACGACTACTGGGTAAATAACAAAATTAAGGCAGAAATAAACAAGTTCTTTGAAACAAATGAGAACAAAAACACAATGTACCAGAATCTGTAGGAGCACAGCTAAAGCTGTGTCTAGAGGGAAATTTATAGCACTTAATGCCCACAGGAGAAAACGGGAAAGATCTAAAATGGACGTCCTCACATCAAAATTGAAAGACCTAGAGAAGCAAAGCCAAACAAATTGAAAAGCTAGCAGAAGACAAGAAATAACTAAGACCAGAGCAGAACTGAAGGAGACAGAGAACAAAAAACTCTTCAAAAAGTTAATGAACCCAGGAGCTGGTATTTTGAAAAGATTAACAAAATAGATAGACCACTAGCCAGCCTAATAAAGAAGAAAAGAGAGAAGAATCAAATAGATACAATAAAAAATGAGAAAGTGGCTATCACCACTGATCCCACAGAGATACAAACTACCATAATCTCTGATGGTACTATAAACGCCTCTACACAAATAAACACTAGGAAATCTAGAAGAAATGGATAAATTCCTAGACACATACACCCTCCCAAGACTAAACCAGGAAGAAGTTGAATCACTGAATAGAACAATAACAAGTTCTGAAATTGAGGCAGTAATTAATAGCCTACTAACCTAAAAAAGCCAGGACTAGACAAATTCACAGCCAAATTCTACCACAGGTACAAAGAGGATCTGGTACCATTCCTTCTGAAATATTCGAAACAATAGAACAGAGGGATTTCTCCTTAACTCATTTTATGAGGCCAGCACCATGCTGATACCAAAACCTGGCAAAGACACAACAAGAAAAGAAAATTTTAGGACAATATCCCTGATGAATAGTGATGTGAAAATCCTCAATAAAATACTGGGAAATGGAATTCAGCAGCACATCAAAAAGCTTATCTATCATCATCAAGTCAGCTTCATCCCTGGGATTCAAGGCTGGTTCAACATATGCAAATCAATAAACATAATCCATTGCATAAACAGAACCAATGACAAAAACCACATGATTATCTCAATAGATGCAGAAAAGGTCTTTGATAAAATTCAACACCGCTTCATGCTAAAAATTCTCAATAAACTAGGTGTTGATGGAACATATCTCAAAAAAATAAGAGCTATTTATGACAAACCAACAGCCAATATCACACTTAATGTGCAAAAGATGGAAGCCTTCCCTTTGAAAACTGGCACAAGACAAGGATGCTCTCTCTCACTATTCTTATTCAACATAGTATTGGAAGTTTTGGCCAGGGCAATCAGGCAAGAGAAAGAAATAAAGGGTATTCAAATAGGAAAAGAGGAAGTCAAATTGTCTCTGCTTGCAGATGACTTGATTGTATATTTAGAAAACCGCATCTTCTCAGCCCCAAATCTCCTTAAGCTGATAAGCAACTTCAGCAAAATCTCAGGATACAAAATCAATGTGCAAAAATCACAAGCATTCCTATACACCAATAATAGAGAGCCAAGTCATGAGCAAACTTCAATTCACAATTGCTATAAAGAGAATAAAATACCTAGGAATACAGCTTACAAGGGACGTGAGGAATCTCTTTAAGGAGAACTACAAGCCGCTGCTCAAAGAAATAAGAGAGGACACAAACAAATGGAAAAACCTTCCAAACATTCACAATGGAACCAACCCAAATCTCATCAATAATAGACTGGATAAAGAAAATGTGGCATATATACACCATAGAATACTATGCAGCCATAAAGAAGGGTGAGTTCATGTCCTTTGTCACGGACATGAATGAAGCTAGAAACCATCATCTCAGCAAACTAACACAAGAACAGAAAATCAAACATTGCATGTTCCCATTCATAAGTGGGAATTGAACAATGAGAACACACGGACACAGGGAGGGGATCATCAGACACCAGGGCCTGTTGGGGGTTGGGGGGCTAGAGGAGGGATAGCATTAGGATACCTAATGTAGATGATAGGTTGATAGGTGCAGCAAACCACCATGACACGTGTATACCTATGTAACAAACCTGCACATTCTGTGCATGTATCCAAGAACTTAAAGTATAATAAAAAGACAAAAAAAGCTAAATAACATTTTGTAATTTTACATTACATATACAAAATGTGTATGGATCTTTTCAATGTGTATTATTTTAAAAACTGGAGGTTTAAAATTAGAAGGAAGCTCCTAGTTTATCTAATTCAATATTCCTCTTCAGAGGGTGAACAATCAAGGATTAGAGTCCTTCATACCTTGCTCAAGGTCACTTGGTGTAGCACAAACAGAACTAGAATTTGGGTTTCCTGTTCCTCATTCTGCAGCCCTTTCATTATTTTTGTATTCACTTAAAATATTATATCATGCATAGAATATTTATTGTACATTTATATATCTTTATCTTCCACCAATGAGTGCTGGAAGATAAAGGCAGAAATTTATTTCAGCTAAATGTATTTTTTTTTCTTTAACAAAGTTAAACATTCCTGTGATACACACAAAGCACCACCAAAATCAGCAAATTACATAAATAATTCTAAATTTGAATACTTTCATCACTAACTTAGTGCAGTCTTTGAGAGATCAGTTTACTTCAGTGACATGTACTCCATGTATACAATAGGAAAAAATAATGTCTTTAGTTTCTGAGACAGGAAAAAAAGGCAGTTTTTTGTTTAAGTATCACCAATTGGAAGATACTTGAAAATTTCATGTTAAGTACATATTATAACGTTTTGATAAGAACTGAATTATCTCAAGTACTAACAATAATGGTTAAACAAGGGAGAATGTCTTTTAGCGTGATAGTTTGTTTCTGCCTTTGATTTCAACTCTACCTTTCTAGGCAGAATTAAGTATGTTTTCTCTCTATATATTTTTCTGTCCAGACCAAATTCTCGTTAGAGATAAATTCTGTTAAATAATGACAATACCTTTCCTGAACTTAATCAACCAAGGTAAACCATTCAATAATTTCTTCCTAAATCCCTTTCTTATCTGGCTTGACAATTGTCATTGCTCACATTAAGTGGGTAATTACTTAATATGCATTACTTTCTAATATTATATTGCAACAAAAAATGAGAGCATGAATGCAGAGGATAAACTGTGATCAAAAAAGCCAGCTATTTAACTTTTTGTGTGTACATATGTCTACTTTTTTGAAGAATGTGAGGACATTCACTTCAGGTTAGAAAAATAAAAATGAAGAAAGAAACAAAAAAATCTATTTTTGGAGTAACATTTCTTAAATGCTTAAATTATGATATTAAAATAGGCATAGCATGGTCTCTATTTCATTATCAGTATATGCAAGCCTTAATACTTGATGCTTGTTTATAGGAACTAACATTTGAATTTATTGATGAAAATCAGTTTGCTATATTTCATTTGCATGGTTTGCTGTATAGAACAAATAAAATGCTTATTCTTCTTGTTATTTATTAAAAGACATACATTTTGATCTTGAAGGCATAGTTTTGAGTTAAAAAAGTATCTTTTAGGTAGAAATATTTCTTGCAATTAATATGTTGGCACTTATTTTATGGTTTTGATTATATTTTTACTTTAGCCATTAGAGGGCACATTAGTTCAAGGGAAATTAAAGAAAAAGCACAGTGATAAGATGGAAATAGGCTTTGAAGTGAATCTATGCGTATTTTCATTCATTTCATTGTCATTTGTAGTATAAGTTACCCAGAAAATTTTTTTTTAATCTGAAAAAGAATTCAAGTATATATAGTTTCATGTAAGAAATAACTCTTCACTTTTTATTGCTAGCTACTACTCCTTAGAGAATGAGGTTGGCCTAGTTGAATCTGATGAGGTTGACTGTTATGTGACCAAGGAGGACTTAATAAATCATGACATTTGAAGAACATCCTGAGTTCAAAGGTATGTATTATCAGGTTATTATGAACTAAGTAAATGGCAGTCCCTGGTCACGTAGTTAATAAAAAAAAAAAGGCACCTAAATGTGAATGAATACAGCTCAGCAACTAGGCTTCAGCGCAAATATTTACAACCTTTAAAGTTTGGTACAAATTACAGAGAGAAAATAGATGGCCCTGGAGTGAACACGAGGCTTTATTTCACTGAAAAGCCTCGACTGAGGTCATAAACTGCAAGAGGACAGGCAGCTCAAGTGGCTTATGAAGACTCTCGAGTCTCAGAATGAGTTCATTTGTTTTCAATCTACAGCAAACTGTTATTATTTCTAATGTTCAGTCTTCTGCTCTAAAGCCTGTAGGTTTTTGATCTGTAAAGGCTGAAATAGACACTAGCTAGGATTAAAAATACTGCTTTTATGATGTCAAGTTAAAAGATCACTTTAAACGATTAACTCATTACTTTAGTAAAATTTATTGAGCACCTACTAAGTTTCAAGTTCTGAGCTGGGTGCCAGGAAATAAAGACAGATAATATACTGTCCATAGCTCAGTAATATAATTTTTTTATTGTCCTGTGATTTATAGATAAATAAATTGGCAAATAACTGTAGTACCTACCTTTATATATTAGTGCAAAAATAGGAAAGAGATTCATCAAAGTTATTACAAAAAATACTTCACATTTTTTTAAGGGAGGTGGGTAGTTAGGCAAAATCATTAGTATATACTATCTTCAGTTTAAGACTACAGAACTGCTCTGTTAATACTTTTCTCTGAGAGTCAATTATGCAGTAAATTGTAGTAATTAGTAGCATAAAACAAGGTAATAATGTAATTAAAACCAAAATATTTACTTGCTATGGAAGATACTTTTATGCATCTTAATTCTGCTCCTTGCAAGCTAATAATACTCTATAGGAATTTCTGTGTGGCTTTTACATCTGGTGGTTTTGGAATTAGCATGTACAAAGAGAGCTCAGAATTATGCTTTAATTATGATTTGAATGATGATTTGAGACTGAGCATGAGTTGTCAACAGAATTGTGAACTGAGGGAAAAAGAGATAAGGACGGTTAGTGGGATAAAAAGTATATTTGCAGTCACTTACTTTAAAGCGCTTTTGTTTTAAAAGAAGTAATTAATGTTAGGAATTAATTGGTTCAGATTCTTGATTTTAAAGTTATCACTTGGTTGCTAAGATGAAGCCTTTTCAAAATTACTACACGATATGCAATGACAGGAACATTTCAGTTGAAGGTAGAAACATAATTGAATAGCTAGCTTTTGAGTGCCTGCTTATCACCCTAATTGATAGATGAGCCCGAGGAACTAAATGCTGTAGTTCAATACAAAATGCTTTTAGCTGGATTTCACGTTACTATGCTTGGTTTTTCTGAGAGCTAAACATTATTGCTGATATTTTGATACATCCGTGGGCTTTAGGTGGAATCCAGTCAGTGTGCATTAACTATTATAAAACAATCGTGAAGTTAAAATTCCATGCAACAAATGGATCCAGGTATAGTATCTAAAAATCTTTGAAGATTTGGATAACCAAATTAGGGCATTCATAAAAGTCATAAAATACAGCCATAAAGAATAATGTTTCAAGTGTATATTTGTTGACATAGAAAGCACATTGCAAAAAAGATGATACAGTGTGAGTCCCACTATTGTAAGACAAATACAACATGTATAAGAATGTGAAAAATCAGAAAGGACATACCCCGAATGTTAACACTGGTCATCTTAAGCAGTGGGATTAGGGAGGTGTTCATTTTCTTTAGGCTTACATGTATCTTCCTAATTTTTCTGTAACATATATACTCAATTACATAATAAAGAGTATGTATTAGTATTCAGTTTGCCCAACATTTAGCAGAAAATTTTTCATATGACTTTAGAAAACAGCAGTGTACTCTTGCTGATATTTAGTTAGTCCTAACAAATATTTATAATTCCTATTTATTAATGTGTTCTCTGTTTTGATATTTATATATTTTCTTGTAACATTTACTAAAAATTCAGCAAAATAAAACACAGATAATACCTAACTTGTCTTAAACAAATGATAGGATACAGTGAATTCAGAAACAGTAAAAAAGAAAGAACAATTGAAAAATAAAGCTGAATTTCAGCTTTGCAAATATAGAAGTGCATATTTAAGATAATATGTATAGGATGTGACCTGGGCATAGAAGATGAGATGAAAGAAGTCCACATGAGACCGCATTTTGAGTCTGTACATGAGCAGGAGGAAGATAGAACTATTGGGAGTGACTGTCACGGTAGTCAGACAGGAGGTGTGACAATACTTTGAGAAAGATGGTGAGTCAGCTAACACTCTGGTGGTCTATTTCTATAAGGTGTATCCCTTTTAGTGAGGAGAAATCTTGTCCCAACTGATCTACACGAGGAGAGTTTATTTTCTTACTTCTATTTAAAAGAATAGTTTTCGGCAGATGCATTCTCAGGGCATTTTGTATGTTTGGTTCAACTGTTCAAACTGATGTGATGTCTGAGACATCACATCAGTTTGAACAGTTGAACCAAACATACAAAAATCAAATGAGATGGGTGCATTTGGATGAAGGTTCAGCAGGGTTTTCCACTGATAGGGGGAGCAAAAATGACTCCTAAACTACCTACTCGAAAAAACCATACACACATATAGATAAACATTGACTAGCTCTTTGGGGCATCTCGATTCTGGGTCAGATGGGATTAAGCTATAAGAGAATAAGATTGCTTTGCTAGTTAGGATTCATAGTTAAGCATTAGGTAAGCATTTCTTAGGTTTTTGAAAGTAAATGTTATAAAATGAGGGTTTAAGGGAGGAAGTTGTGTTTCTGTGGACACAGTATTAAGCTTCTTTCTCCCTTTTCTGATTAAACAGGAAACTCTAGTGGGTGTTTTCTTTCTTTCTGCTTTATAGGCTGTCTTCACTGACTTACAGAAAACAGCTTTTAACTACTAGTGAATAATCAATTTTTCATTACAATTTTATTAACAGTAAGTAACTCATCAGTTTCACAATTTTACTTAGAATGTTGGTTGAAATGTCTGGCGTGATTTTTTCAGTCCAGATGAAAATCTGTAAACCATCTATGATTCAAATTGGCCCTTTAACCAATGAACTGATTTTCTTGAGAGAAAGCTTAGAAAATTTTCTAATTCGTGCTAAGACCTGATTTTCTGTGGCTCACTGCTTCATGTATTTTACTTCTTCAAATTATGCTGTAGGAAATGTCTTTAGAGCTTGGTGTTTTCTATTGATCTTTACAATTGTTCTCACTAATTTAGAAGTCAACTGTGCAGTGATTTTTTAAGAATGCACTGGAGCCCTGAGTCAGCACATGCTCCTTTCCACCAAGCTAGAGGGCAAAGATTCTTGTAGCCCCTCATCCTAAAGCTCTATGCATGAGAATGCCATGCATGAATTCCAACTGCCAGTTCATTTCCTTCATGGAATCTCCTATTAGTCTGCAGTTCATGCCTTAAATGCCTCTCCCCTCTTAAATAGCTGAGAGGGGATTTGTGTAGCATGAGCTTACCTGAGAAACTAAAGATCATTAATTAGAAAGGTGCTTCTGGGCAACAGGAAATTTTTCAGTGGAAACATTTGAAATCTAAGAGAGTAATTAATTTCTCAGTGGAAGATGATCACGATTTTCTCTTCTGGTGCCCCTCATTATTGCAACTGAATAGTTTATGGCACAACAGAGGGAATTCGACTCCTCTCTCATTAACTCTCACAGTTTGGCTCCCTCTGTTCTGTCTCCTTTTCTCTTCCATTTTGGCCTTCTAGGGGCCTGGGGGGGGCAACATTTTATTTTTTTGTGGGGAAAAGTTAAGGAGTATGTTTGAAGGAATATGTACAATACATAGTTCTTTTTCCTTTTTTTTCTTTTTTTGAGTTGGAGTCTCCTCTGCTGCCCAGGCTGGAGTGCAGTGGCATGATCTTGGCTCACTGCAACCCTCGCCCCTGGGTTCAAGCAATTCTCCTGCCTCAGCCGCCAGAGTAGCTGGGATTACACACATGTGCCATCATGCCCTGCTAATTTTTGTATTTTTAATAGAGACAGGGTTTCACCATGTTGGCCAAACTGGCCTCGAACTCCTGACCTCAAGTGATCCACGCACCTCGGCCTCCCTAAGTGCTGGGATTACAGGCATGGGCCACCATGCCTGGCCAAGCGTATTCTCATATGTTTCCTGCTTTCCTTCCTTTTTATACAAAGGTAGCATACTATATATACATTTTTGTATTGACATATAAATTTCTCCATATCAGTTCATACATATTCTCTTTATTCTTTTCACTGTTGTATTTCACTGTGTGTTAATACCATAGTTAATTCATTCAATCTCTTACATTAGGGCTTTTAGATATTTTGCAATATTTTTTAGTTGCCAATAATGTGACAATAAATAACCTTATATTGTTAGAGGTATAACTTCTGGGTAAAATCCTAGGAATGGGATTGATGGATTAAAAGGCAAATGTGTATGCAGTTTTGTTAGATATTGTCAAAGCCCTCTCTATAAGGGTTGTATGATTTTGCAATCCTATTGGTGTTGTATGCGAGTAATTTTATGCCCAAATCTCATCAACAGAGTATATTGTAAAGCTTCTAAATTTTTGCCAGTTGGAAGGGTGAAACACGGTATCTCAGTATAATTTTAATTTTTATCATCTGCTTTGAGTAAAGTTGAACATCTTTTTCATATGGTTAGAGTCATTGTTAAGTCTTTCTGTTTTGATGAGTTGACTGTTCATGACTTTTGTTCACCTTTCCATAGAATTTTTGTTCATTTGTTCAGTATTTGTTTTTATATCAGAAATACTAGGAGGAGGATCCAAGATGGCTGAATAGGAACAGCTCCAGAGTGCAATTTCCAGCAAGAACTATGCAGAAGGTGAGTGCTCATCATATTTCCAAACAAATTTTCCCTGACCACAGACCAGGAGATTCCTGGGCTATAAAGTGCCACGAATTTTCAGCATGGGGGTTTCAGCTGGTGCTGGGTTGGTGCACAGAAACTCACACAAATCTGGGCAGCTGTTTCAACTGGCACCTGGAACTTCTGGGAGACAGAGCCACCCATTCAACAGAAAAAGAGGGGGCAGAGACAGGGAGCCAGGCGATCTGCCTCGGTGGGTACCACCCCCACAAAACAAGCAATCTGAAATGCTCTGGATTGAGAGTTTCGCAGCAAGTGCAGCTGGACCCAGGTCAGTCCAGCTCAGTGGGGGGAAGGGTGACCACTACTATTGAGGCAGTTCACACAGCAGCTGGGCCGAGCCTGCAGCAGCTCAACAACACCTCTGCTGGCAGACTGTGACTAGACTATACCCTGTGGGGCAGGGCATCTATGAAAAAAGGCAGCATGGCAGGAACTTATAAATAAAGCTGACCTTCCTAGGACAGAGCACCTGGGAAAAGAGGCGGTTATGAGTTCCACTGCAGCAGACTTAAAGGTACCTGCCCAGCAGCTCTGCACGGAGCAATGGAGCTCCCAGCACAACACTTCAGCTCCTATAAGGGACAGACTGCCTCCTCAAGCAGCTCCCTGACTCCCTTATACCCAAAAAGACACCTCATAAAGGAGAGCTCAGGCTGACATCTGGCAGGTACCCTTCTGGGATGAACATAACAGAAGAAGGAACTGGCAGCAACCTTAACTGTTGTGCAGCCCCTGTGGGTGATCCCCAGGCAAGCAGAGTCTGGAGTGGAATTCCAGCAGTCCTGTAGCAGAGGGGCCCAACTGTTAGAAGGAAAACTGAGAAACAGAAACAAATAGCTTCAACATCAACAAAAAGGACGTCCACTCAGAGACCCCATCTGAAAGTCACCAACTACAAAGACCATAGGTAGATAAAGCCACTAAAATGGGAAGAAACCAGAGCAAAAAGGATGTAAACACCAGAAACCAGAACATCTCTCCTTCTCCAAAGGATCACAACTCCTCACCAGCTAGGGATCAAAGATGGATGGACAATGAATCTGATGAATTGACAGAAACAAGCTTCAGAAGGTGGATAATAACAAACTTCACAGAGCTAGAAGAACATGTGGTAACCCAATGCAAAGAAACTAAGAAAGTAGAAAAAAGGTTAGATGAGATGTTAACTAGAATAAACAACTTAGAGAAGAATATAAACAACTTGATGGAGCTGAAAAACACAGCACGAGAACTTTGTGAAACATACGCAAGCTTCAATAGGCAAATTGACCAAGCAGAAGAAAGGATATCAGATACTGAAGATCAACTCAATGAAACAAAATGAGAAGGCAAGAATAGAGAAAAAAAGAGTAAAAAGAAATGAACAAAACCTCCAAGAAATATGGGACTATGTGAAAAGACCAAATCTACATTTCATAGCTGTACCTGAATGTGATGGAGAGAACGAATCCAAGCTGGAAAACACTCTTCAGGATATTATCCAAGAGAACTTTCCCAACCTAGCAAGCCAGGCCACCATTCAACTTCAGGAAATAGAGAGAACACCACAAAGATATTCTTCAAGAAAAGCAACCCCAAGACACATAATTGTCAGATTCACCAGGGTTGAAATGAAGGAAAAAATGCTAAGGGAAGCCAGAGAGAA